CCCAAGCTCTCCACCAAAACTTCTCTTCAAGGTCACCAATGACCTCCATGCTATCAATCCAGTGGACACACAAGTCACTCCACAGCACTCCACAGTCAACCGCTCCTTCTGCTGACACCGTTCTCTTGGCTTCCTTGGCGTCACTGCCTGACCCCCTCCTACTCCTTTGCCCATACCTTCCTCTTGTTTTCTGGCTCCTCTCCTGTGAACCCACCTTTAACTGGGGCTCCACTTGGGCCTTCTTTTCCACCTCTCCTCCTGAATCATCTCCATTATTTCCATGATCTCCTGAACTCCCAGTTTGTATCTCTAGCTTAACCTGTCTTCTAGATAAGGTGATGATGATGCTAGTGTGATGATAATCACGATCATGATGATGAAAACAATGACAGAGACACAACTAACACGTTACAGGGATTGTACCAGGCACCATTCTAAGCTCCTTATATATTATAGACCCACCCACTCTTCAGTGACCCAATAAAATAATTCTTATTATCTTCACTTTATGGAAGAGGAAACGAAGGCACAGAGAGCTTCAGTAACTTACCCGTGGTTAGACAGTTAGGAAATAAACCCAGAGAATCAGATGTCAGTGCTATAGAAACGCCTGCTTGGCACCTTCCCTTGAACCTCTCTGGGCATCTCAAATAGCTTGTCCCATTTAAAGCTTCTGAGTTCTTTCCTTCTCTTCCAGTCCTCTCCACTCCAGTAACAAGTGCCACTGTCTATGCAGTTCCTCGTGCAGGGACTCTAGAGTGTCATTTACTTCTTCTCTCTCCCTCACTCCCCACATTGAATCCAGCAGGAAGTTGAGCCATTTTTTGGTCCCTCCATATATTTTGAAACTATTCAGTGCTCTGCTTCTACTGTCCAGTTTCACAACTGGGGACTCTTGTCCGAACTGCTCTTCCTGCTCCCACTCTTGTTTCCTCCCAGTCTCCATATGGTAACCACAGTAATCTTTTAAAACTCCTCTCAGCCTACTTTGTCCCCTTCTTAAAGAAAGTTTTTCAATGGCTCCACATTTCACTTAAATTAAAATTTGAATTTCTCACAATGGCTACCAAAGTCCTATGTCATCTGTGCCCACCCACCTGCCCCATCTCTCGTTTCATTCTCTCCTCATTCAACCCACGCTACTCACACTGTCTCTGTTGCTGCTGTTGAGGTCCCTCGCATGGTAAGTCATTCCTCTGTCTCTGTGCATGGCTGATTCCTCTTTCCCTTTTGCTTCTGGTTTCCTTATTTCCTCCATCTCGTTATTCTCCTTTTTAGCACTCATTTTCCTAATAGTGCTTATTGCAAGTTGTAATTATGTAATTATTTGACTGTTTAGCTATTTGCTGTCTGTTTCCCACACCCTTCCCTAAACGATAGGGGATTATAAGTTGACAAAGGGCAGAAAGCAAGTGTGTTTTGATCCTTTTAGATCATTATGACCGAGACTGTGCCTGACAAATAGTAGGTGCATAATAATTATTTTTCTTGGCTGATTGGTTGGAAATAGTCTTATGCTTACTCTATATTAGGAGGGAGAACTCTAATTAGTAGGACTGGTTCTCTAATGAGGGCTTGACTTGGGATGTTCAGGGGTCATTTTCCTGATAATTTCAACAGGCTACCTTTAGCCACTGGGATGCTGCTGTTGTCTCTCCTCCCACCTACAATAATGCAACAAATGACAGCATTTACAGGACACTGGCCACATGGGTAGTGGTCAACACCGGGCATGACTAATGAGCAACTTTGATGTCCTTTTTAACTTAATATTGTGTGTGCATCAAGTTCTGGTCACCCAGGAGAGATTTTTATTCTAAGCAATGTAGAAGGGAAATTACAGGCCACTACATTCTCTTGTGATTGTCAATTTCCAAAATTTCATTAATACAAGGGTACTTCAAAACGTTCATGGAAAGATTTGTATTATTATTTAATTCTATTTTTCCACGAACTTTTTGAAGTACCTTAGTAACAACTGCCACCTCTTGTGAGTCATGAAAAAAAAGGGACACAAAGACTCTGACCTTCTTGACGCTGTTTGCAACAGCTTCCTTGTGACCCAAGTCATCAGCAGAAAGTTCATTTCCAAATTTGAATTCAGGGTGAGCTTCCTCTTCTTGGTCAGCTGCGTGAAAGGTACAAGGAAAATCCATGAAGCCAGATTACTGCCAAGGACACAGACCTTGCTCGTAAGCTTGAATAGAACATGATCACTCTTAGACAAAAAGGATGCTTAAAGAAAATGGGGTTATTTAAATATGCACATTTTTCTAAGTAAAGCTCTCACTAAACTCTTACGTATTGAAGGCCAAGAAACAAATTTTTTTATTTATTATTTCTCCTGAATCTAACATGATGTTTGACATGCCTGATGCTTAATAAACTTTCTTTAAGTGAATGGCTACTTCCATCCCAGTACACTAACTCTAAAAATTAAAGCTTCAAACACCTCAGGAATATCTGTGACTCATAAAAGGGCATTTTGATCTTTCATGACACTTAAAGAAAACAGAAAGATACAAGAAAAGAATACACACTGGATAACTTTGAAAGAGACTAAAGTGTCTACTTGAATTTCATGAGCATTAATGACTTGTTACCTGGAGTGGTGTGATATAAACAAGAAAGACCATAGAAGGACTGTACGGCTCCTGCAAATCATTTGTTAAACCTAACTTAGGTTTAAAAGACTCGGACTTATTTGTCAGGCTCATGCTAGGAGGGGAGCTGGACGTGGATGCTAAATAAAGCTGGTACCCCAGGAGCACAGCCCAAGCTGAGAGAGGAGGCACAGACATACTCTGTCCATTGGTTCAGGAAAATGACAAGAACTCTGGTATCTTCCCAAGGTGTTGGTGAAAAAAGGATCACGTGTTAGAACATGAGCCACATGCTGGGGTGAGATCTGGAGTCACACAATCACCACTTACAGTAACTCCCAGATGAAGCATTTGCCTAAAATCTCTCCAGGATCAGAAGAAACCCAAAGGCCTTAGGACAAGGCCAACACAAATCCACACTCACAACACAAGATATGAGGAACGTTATTGCTAAACAAAAAACAAAACAGTGAAATAATTTCTGAGAATGAGCTCACAAGTAGGGAGGTGAGCAGATCCATAGGAAAAAGAGATTTTTTTTCATTTTATTTAATTATTTATTTATTCTTGAATTGGAATTTGGCATTTTAATTATTTTTTATTTTATTTATTTATTTTTTATCGATTATGAATATTCATGCGATACAAAGCTGGTTGCCACCTCTCATGCCCAAGATGTGAAGGCCAGATTCATACTGGCAGCA